GGCCTTGGGACCTTTGATGCGGTCCAAATTATGGTAGTAAATGTAGGACAAAGCAGAACTTCTCATCCTATGGTGAGTTAGCAAACAAGAGGGAAGGGCAATGGGAGAAGGGGAAGAGGAGAAATAGAAACAAGAGAGGCAGGAAGAATGTGTCAAGGGCACATTCACAGTTGCCTCTGTCTGCAAGAACCAAGAGAAAATCCATTTCTGCTAAGACATCCATCGTGATTATGTTTTGATGTACTCATCGCTAACTAATGTATTCAGTCTTAGTTTGTTACTGAGGTTCATATGAAATTATCTATTCTCAAAAGCCTAGAAAGAGGAAAAAGTTTTAAAATGTCATGAAGAAACCAATCCTTTGGACTCTAAGAAGAAACCCAGTCCTTCTACAGTTTTTATTCACTTGGTTTTCCTCTCAACATATTTTAAACTTAGGTGTTAAGAAGTACATCAGACAAGGGTTCAAAATAAATATAGTCTGTGCCTATGAAAAGATGATATGAGAGGATAAACAAATAAAAATATTTTAAAACTCCACTGATGAACTATGACGAAGATAGAAGCAAAGGGGAAAGCTCCCCAAACTCTCGAAGGCAGGGTGTCAAAGAGTCTTGAGAGAGGTTTGGGGAGTAGTTGGAGTTGACAGCCAGAGATATGTATTTTGGGGTAAAATTTTGGGGATATTTGAATGTGGTAGGAGATCACTGATAGATCTTCAATGGAATTAAGAAAATATTGACCTTAGAAGACGACCTTTGCTGTATAGATGAAGTGTCACTTGATGTCTTAGATGTGTCAAGGTTTTGGGAAAGCTTTGTGTTGGAGGACTAGATTACAATCCTTTGAGTCACAGCTGACATTATACACATGAAGCAGGTTTTACAGTGGAAACCCCTCATTTAGATATAGACATTAGTTTTAGAATTTTCCTATGTTGAAGTTCACTGATACAAATTCATATTCAGTCTAATGGCACCTTGCCCAAGTCGGCAATATGTTTCTATACCCCAAAGACCACCATTAAACCGCCTAAAGTGAACCTAATGGTGTTATTAATTTGATGAGAGATTCTTATTCATTACCAAAATATCTTACTGGAGAGATACTAATTTTATAATGGTAACGTCAGGAAAGGCCCTGAATTAATTTTTCAAACCTGCAAAGAACTTGACATCTGTGTGTAAATTGAAAGATGTTTTGGAATAAATGGGAGATTAATCTACATCGTTAGACCCATGTAATGAAAACTGGTTTAGAAGAACATTCTTTCTAGAGTCACAAGAAGAAGACAACTTCCAGACAAGCACGCTTCCTTTTTGGAAATAGTCTGTTACATCTGCCATTGTTCCCTACAATTGGAGAACATAGACTTTTAGTAGTTGTTATAAGTAACTACATAACCTCACCATGCCACACTTACATCCCTTTATATATACACACAACATCCTTTTTAAATTCTGTGATTTCTCGTTGAGTTTAGTGTAGTGTACAGATTCCTGTTTTGGTTTTTAGATATAAGAAGCAAGCTGCTTATATCAGATATTGTTTTAATCACAATGGCTGCAAAAGCATCTTTCGTGTCTTTGGCACTTTGACAAACGCATGTAAAAGAACTCACAGAGATCTTATGGGAATGCCAAAGCTTTTCGAGAATAAACAATGACAGATCCCAGCTGTATGACTTTTCTGCTGCACTTGGTTCTAGTACTTCAGGAAATTGCCTGCTGTGACAGGAAAGAGGCAGAACTCTGGGGCTCAAGGGGCCCTACTTTCTCAGTGGTACCAGTGAGCAATATCTAAATTGCAATGAGTGGTTTCTCTGTATGTTATATGAATGACTGAATTAGATCAGTGGTTCTTCTGGGTGTTTACCCAAAGGATTCAGAGTCACCATATCACAGACACTGAATATAAATGTTTATAGAAACGCTGTTGATAACTACAGTTATGAAACCAACCTAGAAGGATGGGTAGAGGAAAAGTGGAGTGTGTGCAGTCAAGCATGCTTAAAGTGGAACTTTTCAGCCACAAAGAAGAGTTCAGCTATGTTGTTTTCAGGATAGCAGATGCAATTATAGATAATCATATTAATAGGATTAAGCCAGTCTCAGAAAGATAAATATATGTTTCTCTCATTTGATCATTCTAGATCTTATATAGATACATAACATCCTGTATGTTGTGTGCTGTGAAGTTGAAGTAAATATGTCTGTCTAGAATAAAACCTCTAATAGGAAAAAAGGAGCAGGAGGAAGGCTAGGAAGGCAACATGGAAAGGATGATACTTTTGCATAAAAAGAAAATACATATACCAAATCCTCTGACAAGGTCGCTTGATACTGACAAATGTTTGCATTAAAACTTTCTCCTCTAAATGTGTGCATATGATTTCAGGAAGTTGAGCTAGCTTCTGAATTGTTGTTGGAAACCAGAGCTTTGCACACTGAGCTGCATGGCCCTGGAGAGCCCTGCCAGCTCTGAAACGTTCCGATTGTCTGTTTATGATCCGAACTCTAGAGATTCTTTCTTTGGTTTGGCAGCTGTTCTGCCTGGGACACCTCTGGTTCTTCTGGGGTGGCTAATGAATAGTCTGCAGGCCAGCTGTGTTGATTTGTTCCATGACCTCATTAGGCAGGCCTAGTATTTCCCAACTCAGTCTATGCATATTTTCTCCTTACTACCCTAAAGCTTTTCTGTTTGATGTACTGTGAAAAGTTGGACACATCTCAAAGTCATGAGTATGCCAAAAAGAAAATGTAACTTCCATTAGTGCTTTGGCTCTGTCTGTGTTGACGTTAGATATGGGTAAGATTTTTGGTCCATTTCTTAAAAATTTTTAGATTTTATTTTATTTTTATTATACATTATATTTAGTTTTGAGATTATAATTGCTTCACCCCTTCCCTTTCCATCCTCAAACTTTCCAATATTCCCCTCTCTGCTCTCCTTCAAATTCATAGCCATTTTTTCACTAATTCTTATTATATGCATATGTGTTTATGTATACACACACATATTCCTAAGTATAACCTTGTATGTATGTGTTCCAAACTGACTGTTTGACACTCAAAACCCCGTTTGGGGGAAGTTTACCTCTCCCACTCCCAGCTGAAACTGGAAGCCCATCTAACTACTCATTGACAGTAAAATCATGGTTATTGAAGAATTTATATCCTCTAATTTACTAAATCAGCAGAATCCCTTACAAAAAGCTATGAACATTTGTCTTCAGCCCTCATCAAAGTAACTCCTCTCCACTACAGAAAATCTCAGATATTTTCCCATGACTATAGGAAAATGAGTTATTTATAAATGTTAAAGACATATATTTAAGCCAAGAGACAATGGTGGCACACAACTTTAATCCCAGCACTCAGGAGGCAGATGCAGGCGGATCTCAGTGAGTTCAAAGCCAGCCTGGTCTATAAAGTGAGTTTCAGGACAGCCAGGGCTGTTTTTCTCAAAAACAAACAAACAAAAGATATATATTCCTTGATGTCAACTTTTGGTATGTATATTTATTTAACTCTCATATTTCATGTAAATATGCAAGAATTGATAAAGGTAGAGGTTGGTTATTTAACCATCTATGTTAAGTTTCCTTCAACTTTAAAGTTTAAAATTATTAATCTTTTAAATATTCTGAGTTAAGGTGATATCAAGATGATTTTTTTTTCAACTGGGCAGTGGTGGTGCATGTCTTTAATCCTAGAACTTGGGAGGCAGAGGCAGGTGGATCTCTGTGAGCTTGAAGCCAGCCTTGTCTACAAGAGCTAGGTCCAGAACAGGTCATTCATTCATTTATTCATTTTATCTTGTTTTTAGGCAGGTTCTGCGTAGCTATGTAGCCTAGGCTGACCAAAAACTTGCAGAATTCTACTTCAAGTCTCCCCAAGATAGCAAAGTTTATTGCCATTCTGAACCTTAATGTAATCATTCCCAGTTGTATTATTCTGAACAATAATGAAATAACAGAGTAAATGCATCACACAGACCCAAATTATGTTAGAATGTTTCATGACCATAACTGTTCTGCTTCTTAACCTCCACAGTTCCTGTAAGACTCCTTGGAGACCTAAATTAAAATATTTTCAGCAGTAAACTCTAGACTGAGTATTTTCACTACTACAATAATTAATTTATCCTAAGTGATGAAAATAAAAATGTATTTAGTATTCAGATATAATCTCTGTTCAAGGCTCATTGTTTGCTTGTTTTATTTTTTTGCACTTTTATAAAAAAAGCAACTCATCCATTTAAGCCATTTATTTTAAAAAACAACTGTATCTTTAGATGTTAAGAGTATTTCAGTATTTAACAACTATCTTGCCAAAAAGATTTCAATATCTTAAAATACAGATAATGGGTGTACTGGTTGGTTTTGTGTATCAACTTGACACAAACTAGACTCATCAGCAGAAAGAGCTTCTGCTGAGAAAATGTCTCCAGGAGATCAAGTTGTTAAGCATTTTCTCATTTTAGGGATCAATGTGGGAGGACCCAGTCCACAGTAGGTGGTGCCATCCCTGGGCTGATCTTCCTGGGTTCTATAAGAAAGCAGACTAAGCAAGCCAGGGGGAGAAAGGCAGTAAGAGGCTTACTCCTTAACCTCTGCATCAGATCCTGCCTCTGGATTCATGCCATTTTAGTTCCTGTCCTGACTTCTTTTGGTAATGAACAGCAATGTTGAAGTGTAAGCCTAATAAACCCTTTCTCCCAACTTCCTTCTGGTCATGTTGGTTTGTCACAGCGATAGAGACTCCAGCTAAGCCAGGGGACCAGAGAGATGGCTCTGTCTCCGCTGTCTGTTATATTCTGGTTTGTTTATATTTTATTCTTTAGATGCCTGTTAGTTTTCTAAAGAGAGAAGTGGGAATTTGTCTGGGAGGGGAGGGCAGAAGGATCTGGGGCGAGTTGGAGCAGGGGAAATCATACTCAGAATGTATTGTCTAAAAAATTCATTTTCTATAAAGGAAAAATAGTAAATTAAGCAGAAAAAGCAGCAAGACATTTTATTTATTTATTTATTTGTGTTGGGAATGTTTTACTGTTTCATCATCCCAGAGTCACCCAAAGTAAAGTCTTAGGGTCTTTAATCCTCTGCGGTGATCCACCTCCTGGTCCTGTGGTGTGGCTGGGAGACTGCGGTTCTCAGATAGAGGGTCGGAGGTTCATGTGCCCGGAACGCTCATTTGCACTGTTATAAAAAGGGCAGTGAGACAAAGGGACTGATCTCCTTTTACTGATTACAACTTTAAACAATCTACATTTAATTTCATTTGAACTACACCATATTACTGGAGTTTTCAGGGCATAAGAATATGTAAGACAGAATCACAACATATGAAGATTTAAAGTGTAGTATAAAATTTCTTACTGAATAGACTGGAAAATTGTCAGAATATTACCTCTATTGAAAGACCTTGATTTAGTTGTATATGAACGTGTTTTATATGTATAGTATTGTCCCCTAGAAAATGCTATGCTACACTTTGACTTGTGACTGACTTCCTAAGTCTCAGTGTCTGCTTCCTCCCTTGGTCTCACAGTAAGGCATACCTCCTCTTCTCTAAGTAAACTCTGAGGATTCTGTGCTAGTTGTTTTGAACTAAGAAATGAGGCTGGATTTCATGTTGTATCGTGGTGAGCATGGAACAGTCTTCTGCTACGCTGATCTATCCTAAACTGAACCCAACCTGGAACAGTGAAAGACTCTCAGGGTCAGTCATAACATCATTTATGACTTACTCTGTTTTAGGCTATTACTGGAACTTGGCGGGAGGGGGGCTTTAATCAAACTTTAGTCTTCGCTATGTTCATGACTATTGTAAAGGTGTCCTTTGGGCACTTGCAAACTTTACAGGGGATAAGAATTCTGTCTTATTATAGCCTTGGCTGGCCCAGACCTCACCTTGGAATCCATGCTCGCCTTATACTTTCAGTGATTTCCCAGCTTCTTCTTCCCAGGTGCTGAGCCATGCATGGCAGCAAGACATTTTAAAGTGGCCAAAATATTTAATCATTTTGTCAGTTCAATCTTCTTAATAACACAAGCTATAAATGTTAAAATCAGTGTTTATTTGAAATAAAACCACGTACTGTTTTGCAGAAGACTTGAATTTGAGTCCCAGCACCGACATCATGCATCACAACAGCCTCAGACTCCAGATCTAGGGTATCAGATGCTTCTGACCTCCTTATACCCTGACATATATCATACACATAAATGATAATGCACATTTAAAACTATAAATGGCAAGGAAATGTGTAAGTCTTCACAGCCTGTTTTCCTAATTATCAAGGAATCTCATTATCTAATTTTCAATTTACTGGTCACAGTCAGGCTTAAACTATCTGAAAAAACACTTAGGCTTTGCAGACAGGGATGCTTTGTTGCCATGGAGTCATCTTACAGTTGTGATGTCACTGTGACTACCCTTCACCTACAGCTTGCTTCCTCCGGAGAGCTCTGTCTCTCTTTTGTTACATGTGATTCTCTGTGATAAGTTCTGCTCCTTGGGCACTTGCATCCATCTTACTGCTGCCTCTTCCTGTTTATTATATCATATATATTTTGAAAATTGTCATCATAGATTTATTTTCTCTAGTATGGACTCCAAAACTTGATGTGTGACTTAGCCTTACTTGCCTTGCTTTCTTTGTTTTTTACTATGTTTACGCTTTTGACTCACATGCACTTTAACACTTAAGAAATGCGTTTGATAAATGAAGAGTAGGTTCATTTACTACTGGTTGCTTATGATGATGGTTTTGAATAAGAAGATTTTGGCTAAAATATGTATCGAAGAGTTTTTTATTGCTCTTTTTTTCTTCGCTATTTATGTTAAGTTTTTAAGAGGCTCTCACTCTGCAGCTCAGGATGGGTTAGAACTCACTTTGTAAATCTGATTAGCCTAGACTTTGCAGCAATTCTATTGCTTCTGTATCTGTATTGCTAGAATTATAGATAGGAAGCACCACATCCAGTTGGGGTTTGGATTTGTAGGAATTTTCACTGTGTTATAGCAGCGATGTGGAGGTTGGAAGACAACCTTGGGGTTGCTCCTTACCTTCCTTCCATCTTATTGGAAAACAGGGTCTTTTATTTGATTTTAGACGCTGTGCATCCAGGGAACTTGGCCCATGGTCAATCAGGAGTTACCTGTCTTTGCCTCCCATCTCAGAGGGCTTGGCCCTGACTCTACTTGGGATCTGGGGATTGGCAGTAAGGTCCTAGTGCTTTTGCGAAAGGTGCTTTCCCCACTGAGCCGACCTCAGCAGCTCAACTAGCTTTTCTTTTGCGTTTGTACGAGGATTTCCAGTTGTGCTGACAGCTGCAGCTGAACAGCCCTTTTCCATCAAATCGCCCCTTTCCTCTGTTAAAGCTTTGCAGCTGTCGGTGTAGGTGTGGGTCTCTTTGGAGTCCCCCCTTATTCTATTGATTTATTTGGCTACCTCTGGCCTGATGCTGTACTTTATTGACTACTATAGTTTTATAATAGGTCATTATAGCAGATACAATTATCCCTCTAACTTCGCTGAAATTTTTCAAAGCTGTTTTGTTGATTCCCTTACATTTCTACTTGAGCTAGTTTGCTTTCTCTCTGTGTGTGTACCTCTCTGTCTCTCTCTTTCTTATTTATTTGAAGGGAGGATTTATTTTTGCTCACATCTACATGAGTCATGTTTTAAACTCCTATAAAAATTCTTCTGGTAAATTGTTTGCAGTTCTCCTGTGTCCCCAACGTTTAAAGCCTGACATCACTTTTTGATCAGTTGACCTCTGAACAGGATACGCCTCTCGCCACTCTGTTGACTCATGTCCCCATTAGTGTTGTTTTTTTCTAGTTTCTTCTCTTGGCAATTTTGCAAGTTTCTTCTTTTCTTATGCTGTAATGGTAGCAGTGCAATGCTCCAATCATAAAATTAATTGAAAAATGCTCTCTTTAGTTTTATGGAAGATTTTATTTTAAAGATTTACTTTATTTTGTTGTATCCAACCTGGAATTTTTTACATGTTAGGTAAGTGATATATGTCTATGTTATGTCACGAACCAAAACATATTTTTGAGATGTAAAACTTTTAAAAAGATTATTATTGCATGTGTGTGTGTGTGTGTGTGTGTGTGTGTGTGTGTGTGTGTGTTTCTGAGTATGGGTGTGCATGGCATGGTTCACATGTTTTATGTTAGAGTCCCACTTTATAGAGTTGGTGTTCTCTTTCAATCAAACAGCTCTTTGAATTCAGATCATTAGGCTTGACACCAAGACCGTCTACACACTGACCCTTCTGGTCAGCCTGATTTTGACATTTGACATTATTTCTTACATGAGTATTTGGAAAAACATTACCAGCAAAGTCAACATGGTCTGAGTTTCTTTGGTTAGTATTTGTAGGAATGATATCACAAATTCAAATGCAGTAAAAGTAGCTGTTTCTTTTAAGGACTGTTAGCAGCTGAAGTCTTTGCTATTTTCTCTGTGCTTTAAGATTTGTTGTCATACATGTTTTATACTTGCTACCATACATGTTTCCACAGTGTTCTCTTAAAGCTGTGCCTTTGAAGCACTCACTTCCCTTTAGCTCCCAGTTTTGGTCATGTGTTCCCTCTCCCTCTTCCTGTCTCCTGCTCCTCTAATCATTCTGGTTATATTTCTCTCTTTTTTTTCTAGTTTCCAGATAAATAACCATTATCTAGTTACTCTAATCTTTTTCATAACTCATTTTTTTAAAAAAAATTATCATTGGATCTTCTATCATCTTTTGATTCTGACTTACTAATCTTCTATTATAGCTCCCATTTCTTTATTTAATTTAGTTATTTGACGGTCTGTTTTCTTTTTAAATGTGTTGATAATATTTTTTAATCAAATGTTGCTTATTTAATTAATTTGTTGTAATACTGAGTATAATCTGTTACTTTTGGTAAAGTTTCCTACTTTGCAGTTGAAGGAGACAAGTAGAGGAGCATGGTGGGACATACTCTTCCTTTTTATACAATTTTGACATGAGTTTCTGTGTTTTTCTGTCACTTTCTCACATTAATCTGACATCTGTTTTGATATTAAAGCAACTGTATTTATAGAATACATTTAATAATTTTCTCTATATAATGAAAGTAATTTTCTGAGATTAGAGAATGCTTCACTTAAATTGAAAAGGGTATTTGAAAAATAATGCAATTTAGAATGAATGTGTTCTAGAAGTTGTAAACATTTACTTCATTGGTTTCTAACACTAGTGCTGTGGGATAATGTTCTTGAACACTGAACACATTTGTCACTCATGTTGGTTTAATAAAACACTGATTGACCAGTAGCCATGCTGGAAGTATAAACAGACTACGAGAATTCTGGGAAGAGAAAAGGAAGATATACAGTTGTCATCCAGAAACAAAGGAAGTAAATGAGAATGCCTTACTGAGAAAAGATATGAAGCGACATGGCTAAACATAGTAAAAATGAAGGTTAATTTAAGTTGTAAGAGGTGGTTAGTAATAAGCCTGAACAATAGGCTAAGCAGTTTATAATTAATTTAAGCCTCTATATGTTTATTTGGAACTGAATGGCTGTGGGACTGTGCAAGACAGAAACTTCTGTCTACACACTAACATAAACCAAAAATAGCTTGTCAAAATCAACAGGCAGATATAAACAAACTCTTTATAACGTCATCTAGTTTGCAAAAATTAAAGGAATTTCTGTATTTTGGCTAAGAATTTTAATTTTACAGAAAATTATAGAGATCTTATAATAACAAGAAGTTATTATAATTCTTATAATAATACACAAATCAAAGGAGACACTGATTCTTAATCCTGAAGTCACTCAAAGTAGACTTCGTCTCAAGGGAACAATTCTGTGAGTTATTCTCCAGTGAACAGACAAATGAAAATCTGTTAAAAGTTGCATTGAGGTCACATTTTTTATTGTGAGATAATCACAGGAGACAATCCTTTTTGGTAGGGACAGAAATATTTTATTTTATCACTAGATTACCTCTGCTCCAAGGAATGATGTCTGAGCTCTTTTCGTCTGTGGTTCCATTCATCAATGTGTCCTGACTGTATTATTGTATTTCATATAGTTTTTTTGTCTTCTCATTACAAGTATAAATTTAGTTAGTTAATGATTGTCATAAGTTGGTTTTTACGTATTTGTTAAAGAAAATTCTTGTTAGGATGATGTAGATGGTTGTCATTATACTAGACTACAAGCATTGGCACTGTTCTTCTACAGGTAAAAAAGGAGGACCCATTGGGAATCTAATTTCTCTTCCTTAACGAAAGCTTAGCTTCTGCAACAGCATTCTGACATCCGGCATCCAGAAGTGTCTCCTGTATTATAAACACTTCTTTAATTCCAGGAAGCTACTACACAGACAAATAAAGTTTTCAAAAAGAGACTCTATCCAAACCATTTTCAGTGTGGAACTGTTTCCAAGTACAGAAGCCAATCATAATATTGACTCTTCACGAAGCAGGAAGACACAAAACATAAATATGGTGAGGTCATCACTGTTGTCATAACAGGCTATTCATAAATTTTAACTAATAAGTTGTTTCAGAGATTAAGACTGAGGAGACTCCTGTTGTACAAATTCCCTACCACTGTCTCTCTAATCTCTGCTTTGTAGAGTTTCATCTGAGTACGAAAAAAAAATATATAAAACTATAACCTGCCAGGTGTCAGTGGCAAAGTGAAATGAAAAAATTGCCAGTTAATAGTAGTGACGCCTCGAAAAAATTTCCTGGCCAATTTAACATTGCTGCACCCAAGGTCACTTCTCAGAGCTGATTATTCACGGTAATTTGTAGATGAGGCGGTTCCATCATGGTCGTGGTTAGTGACGCCCTAGAAAGCACCACAGGAGGCTTGAGAACCAAGGTTATCAGTCTCCCTCATGCGAGGCAAAATCCACAGCCCCACATGTCTTTGTCTGAAACCTAGCACAGCAGTAATGCTCAAAGAAATGAAACTTAAAGTCTGAGCTCTCTTTTATTTGCAGTATGAAGTCATCCTAATGTGAAGTATTGGTGAAAGGACAGGGAAGGGCATTGTTTAGCTCCTATGCAGCATTTCATTTAGGAAATTTTCAGTGAATGTTCTTAGTATTTTACTCTGATGTTTTAAGAAACCACTGTAGATTTTATTATATATATATATATATATATATCAATTATAGCTGAAATTTTAGCTTTCAGAAAATGCCTCAATATACTTTCTTTTACCCAATAAAAATATATTGTAAACAGTCTTTTATAAACCAGTTTTCTTACATATAAATAATTTATATATTAGAGACAAGTACAAAAGAAGAAAATAAACCTTTCAAAGGCATATCATATGCTGATGTTTACTATATTATTTTCAAACTGATGTACATATATGTATTGTAAACATGTATGTGTGTTCACAGGAGAGAACAGAAAGACAATGTATTAATTTACATTTCTTGTTTTAAAATTTTTAATTAAAGGATAATTGCATAATTCCCCAACTCTTTTCTCCAACCTTTCTAATGTAATTACCTGCTCTCTCAAATTTATGACATCTTTTTAAAAATAGTTCTTCTTAAACACACATACGCACACACACACACAGATGATAAAAATGTAAATATAACTTGCTCAATCTGTTTGGTGCTACTTGTATGGATATATTTTTAGGGATAAGTTGCACTCATGAAATGGCAAAATATGGCTTCTTAAACAAGTCTTGAACAATTCTAATACCAATTTCTACCCCAAAGTGGATATGGGACATACCATGGACCTCATTCCTGAATGATAAGAAATTGACTATGAAGAGACGGGAAATTAGTTTTTACCCAGGGATGAGCTTCCTTGGTGGTTATACATGGCCAATATATTTAAAATTTCTTATTATTAGTGTGTATAGAGGACATACATGACTTGCATGTAGAGATCACCATATAGTTTTATATAGAGTTACTTGTAGTTGTTGGTTTTTTACTTTTTTGCTTTTATTTTTTAAAAAGAAAAACCAAACTGTCTTTTTTGAATTTTACATGCCAATCCCAGTTCCCACTCCCTTCTCTCCTCCCATCCCTTCCATGTTCCATCCTTTTCCTTCCCCCATTCCTCAGAGAGGGTAAGGCACATTGCTTTGGGAAAGGTCCAAGGACCTCTCTGCTATATTTACATTGAGCAAGTTATCCATCCGAAGAGAATGGGTTCCAGAAAGCCAGTCCAAGCAGTAGGGATAAATCCTGGTGCCAATGCCAGTGGCCCCTCAGTCTGCCCCAGCCATGCAACTGTCAGTCACATTCAGAGGGACTAGTTTGTACCTTCCTAGTTCCTTCCCTGTCCTGATGGAGTTAGGGAGCTCCCATTAGCTCAGGTAAACTGTTTCAGTGGTTGACCCTATCATGGTCTTGGCCTCTTTGCTCATAGTCTCACTCCTCCCACTCTTCAGCTGGACTTTGGGAGCTTAGCCCAGTGCTCGACTGCAGGTCTCTGCCTCTGTTTCCATCAGTTGCTATATGAAGGTTCTATGTTGACACAAGATATTTATCAATCAGACGACAGGGCAAGGCCAGTTCAAGAACCCTCTCCTCTATTATTTATGGTCTTAACTGGGGTCATCGTTGTAGATTCTTGGGAATTTCTCTATGCCAAATTTATTGCTAGCTCCGTAATGGCTCCCTCAATCAAAATATCTGTTTCTTTACTCTTTACTCTTGTCCTTCTCCCATCTCAACTCTTCTGTTCCCTCAAGCTCTCCTCCCCCCTTCACTTCTCCCCTCCTCCTCTTTTGCCCTCTCTTCTCCCCTCACCCCCATGTTCCCATTTTTTAAAGAAGATCTTGTCTATTTCTCCTTCCCAGGAGGTCTATATATGTTTCCCTTAGGGTTCACCTTGTTATTTAGGTTCTCTAGGGTCATGAACTATAGGCTCCTTATCCTTTGCTTTACAGATAGTATCCACTTATGAGTGAGTACATACCATGTGCATCTTTGGGTCTACATTACCTCATTCAGGATGTTTTCTACTTCCATC